AACCCGCCACCTTAGGTGTATGTGGCTGGCGCCTTAGCTGCTTGAGCCACAGGCGCCGAGCCAGTTTTTCCATTTTTAGTAGACACTGGGTCTCTCCTTTGCTCAGGCTGGTCTTGAACTCCTGAGCTCAAGCAGTCCACCCACTTTGGCCTCCCAGAGTGCTAGGATTACAGGTGTGAGCCACCACACCTGTCCTAAAAACTTTTTTTTTCTTTGAGACAAGTCTCTCTATTGTCCTGGGAGAGTGCCCTGGCGTCATTGTAGCTTACAGCAACCTCACACTCCCAAGTAGCTGGGATTACAGGCATGCTCCACAATGCATTGGTAGTTTTTCTATTTTTAGTAAAGCCTGAATAGTTTTTCTATTTTTAGTGGTGACAGGGTCTCATTCTTTCTCAGGCTGGTTGGTCTCAAACTCCTGAGCTCAAGGGATCCTCCCACCTCAGCCTTCCAGAATGCTAGGATTACAAGTGTGAGCCATTGTAAAACTTAATTTCTTAGCATAATCTTCATCATGTTTGAGACACTTATATGGGATGACACCAGCCATTTAGTTTTAATCCCTAAAGAATTGAGGTTCCTGGGAATTCAACCAAATTAGTGCAGTCTTTGTTATATTATTAACTGAAGAAAAATGAGTGCCCTTTAAAGATTTTTTAAAGGTTAATTCACAAACACAGAAGGAGCCAAATCAAGTCCGAGGTGGTTTCCTGGTGATTTGCCACTCTTGGGTGATGAGAGGAGTGGGCAGGAGCAAGAGCCTCTGGTGAAGCTTTTCCAGGTACTTTTCTGAAAGCCTTGGCCAACTTTCTCAGCACACTCTCCCAACAAGCAGATGGTGCTATGTTGTTGGCCCTTCAGAAAGCCAGCAAGCAAAATGCCTTGAACGTCCCCAAATGCAATGACTTCAGCTTTTGACTGGTCTACTCTTTCTCTGACTAGATCACGTCTGCCTCTAAGGAACTGCTATTTTGTTTGTGCCAGGTTCTGTCTCCTGTTAATACTTTTTTTTTTTTTTTTGAGACAGAGTCTCACTGTGTCGCCCTCAGTAGAGTGCTGTGGCATCACAGCTTACAGCAACCTCAAACTCTTGGGCTTAAGCAATTCTCTTGCCTCAGCCTCCCAAGTAGCTGGGACTACAGGTACTCACCACAGCACCCAGCTATTTTTTGTTGGAGTTGTTTTGGTGGCCTGAGCCGGGTTTGAACTCACCACGCTTGGTGTATGTGGCTGGCGCCGTAACCACTGTGCTATGGGCACTGAGCCTTGATAATACTTCTTTAAAGAAACCTTGGTACCATATGTTTAAAATTGCGTTGAGTGTTATTTCCGTTGTTAGTTAATTAAGTCCTCTTCAATTAAGCTAGGAACAAGATTAATTTTTTTCAAAAATTGATGCAGATGGTCTGTCACTGTGGGCTTCATCTTCAGCATGGTCTTGGGCTCATCTTTTTTTTTTTTGAGACAAGAGTATCACTATGTTGCCCTGGGTAGAGTGCTGTGGCATCACAGCTCACAGCAACCTCAAACTCTTGGGCTTAAGCAATTCTTTTGCTTCAGCCTCCCAAGTAGCTGGGACTATAGGTGCCCACCACAATGCCTGGCTATTTTTTGGTTGTAGTAGTCATTGTTGTTTGGCAGGCCCAGGCAGGATTTGAACCTGCCAGCTCTGGTGTATGTGGCTGGCCCCCTAGCTGTTGAGCTACAGGCACCAAGCCTCTATGAACTTTTTGAAGAGTCTTCATAGTCAGCACTGCTGTGTCCTGGGAGAGAAGTGGGTCTGGCCCATTTTCCATTGTCAAATTGTCCACAGTGCAAAAAAAAAAAAATTGTCCATGGTGCTGGGGAGGGCACAGAGGGATAGGCAGCCTGGAGCCACCCTGCCTTCCATGCAGCAGGTTGCCAGTTGCAGGTTCTGCTCTGGGGTGTGCTATGTGGCCCTGGGCAAGCTGCACAACCTCTCTGAGCCTTAATTCTCTCACCTTCCCAGTCCAGAGACAACAGTGGTTGTAGGGCTGCTGTGCAGTGACAGTGAGTTAGCACAGGAAAAACAGAGAACCCAACTCTGAGTGTAACAACCAGGAGCCCCAGCCATTCCCATCACTAGACCCCAAGGATTTGAAGGCTAGATTTGGCAGATCAGATTAAGTGAGATTGGATTGAAGTACCAACTTAATCTAGACAGAAGTCAACATTCCTGCTCCCCCTGTGCCTGTCTATATCAAGGCTGAGTATGCCAGCCTCAGGCAGAGAGGCTAAGAATCAGCAAAGCAAGGCCAGACTGGTACTTTGAGGGCCATGGCACTGTGCTGGTTCCCACCACAGTATAGTGGAGATTGGGAGGTGGCCAGCAAGGCAGCCTCCCCAGTCCTCGGGCAGCCTACCCAGTGCTGCCTGCTCTGGGTACCACAAATGTACAGCCATGCCATGGAATTTATCATTATCCAGGTGGAGCCTCCGAGGAGGGGTCCAGCATTGCCTCCAGCCCGGCCCCCAACTGCCCAGGAGGTGTGTTATCTGCGGGCCCAGCAAGCACAGAGGGAGTCAGCCAGCTGGCTAAAGGCTGCCCCTAGGCTGCTGGAAAAGCCGTCTTCTGTCCACATCTCAGCGCCTGGCGAGAAAAAGAGGATTGCCCACATCCCCAACCCCCGATTGGCCACAGGCAAGTCCTGGCTGCTGGGGTAACTTTCCTTAGCTTCCTTTGTCCCAGGGCTCTGGGTTGCTAGATGGGCTGCTCTGACCACAAGCAGCTGGCCTGAGCCAGGGCTCGAAGGGTCAGAGCATCATTGTCAGCTCAAGGTGGGCAGGGCAGGGCAGGGCAGGGTGGGTGCCAGGCCCTAGCCCAAGGGTGGCTTCTGGCCTAGGAGGGTGTGAGTGGATGTGGCTTGTGGTTGAATCAAGCCAGCTTATCTGCTCTGGGACGAGGCTGCATTTCCTGCATTTTGAGGGGCACTGACTGTTTATTCATATGGAAGTCCAGTCTCTCCAACAGTTGGGATGAGCAGGACATTTAGTGGGGTGATTGTCCTGTGTTCTGTGAATTTTCACATTGAGGCAGATTGCAGGTGAGAAATACCCAGAGAATTTGTTACTGCTGTTGTGGGCTAGGGAGGGTGCCCTGTATCTTTAACCTGCCCCTGGGGAGGCCCAGCCCTTGCTGATGAGTCAGACACCACCCAGTAGTATCTGGGGTTCAAAGCCCCCTCCAGTAGCCTCCTTTTGTCCCTGTTCCCTGGCACTGGTCCCCAAACCCTCCTGTCTCAAAGCCTTCCAGGCTAGGCATGGTGATCCATCTGCAACCCCAGCAGTTGAGGAGGCTAAGGTGGGAGGATCACGTGAGCCCAGGAGTTGAAGGCTATAGTGAGCTGTGATGTTGCCATTGCACTAAAGCCTGGGTACCAGAGTGACACCCTGTTTCAGGGAACAAGAACCCTCCCAGTGATTCTAGCTCTTCTCTGCCCAGAGCCACTTGACAGCAGAGACATGGTGGTGGGGTCTTCAGTAGGGGTTTAGCAGCAGGGAAAAGGAAGCAACTGAATTGAGTCCATCTCAAGAGACCCCACCCTTTTCCCTAGTCCATGTTGTCTGCACTTGAAGTTATCTGATTTATAGCTGGTGAGAGATAGTAGAGTTGTCATGTCCTGGGTGCAGGGGGGTCTGACATTGCTGCACACTGCTGGTGCTGCACGGGTGCACTGACCTGGGATGGGAGGACCCTCCTCCAGCACTTCTAGCTTGCCAGATCCTCTCAAGGAACCTGAGGCTCTCCTTCCATGATTGAGAGTAAATCTTCCACACTGTGAGAGGCTCATGTCTAGTGTGGTGGACAGCTTGCTTCCTTCCTGGAGGACCCGTGGGAGCTCCCTAAACTTCACACAGATACAAGTACTAGAGTGCAACTGCCCTGCCTGGCCAGCTCTTAGAAATTATCCTCCTCCCTCCAGGAGGGAGATCATTTGGTTTGTGACCTCATCAAAGGGAGCCCCAGAACACAGGCAGCTGGGCAGGCTGGCTGGTCACAATGAGCAGTCCAGGGACGTCTCATACCCTCTGGTCCTTTGTCCAGGAGCCAGGGCCTTCCCCTCTCGGATGTCAATGCCTCAGAGCTGGGGCTGGAACATGTGGCAGAGGCCTGCCACACCTCGCGCCACTCACCGGACTGCCCCGGTGGCAACGTTGCCCGAGCCAGCCTCTGCAGCCTGATTTTGTTCCCCCCATCTGGATGGACTTGCCCGAAAGCAGATAGAGCCTAATGTCATTCCACAGCCCGAGCCCCGCATCCCGGCCCGTGCCCCTGCGCTCAGAGATGCACGTGCTGCTGACCCTGAATGACCGCAGCTACCTGGTGCTCCGTAGCTCAGTGATGGGCATTCTCTCTTCCTGTACTCATGTCCCCTGTGCCCCGCCAGCCCCCACAGGTGCCAAGAGGACTCTCACGGCCAGCAGCAGCCAGCCTTCCCATGGCCCGGAGCCCAGCAGCCAGCCGCTGAAGACACGCACACTATCTGGGATGGCATCTAAGACCACCACCACTGTCACCCCCAAGCGGGTCGCTCACAGCCCGTCCTTACAGGTGACCTACCGCACCCCACCATCCTCCCTTGGTCCAGCACTGCTTTACCTTTGCCTTCCCTCTTCATTTTCTCTTTTGGTTTTGTATTTTGTCTAGCTTCATTTTTAATTAATAGACTTTATTTTTGTTTTTTCTTTATTTTTCTTTTGAGACAGATCTCACTAAGGCACCCTCGCTAGAGTGCCATGGTGTCAAAGCTCATAGCAACCTCCAACTCTTGGGCTTAAGCGATTCTCTTACCTCAGCCTCTCAAATAGCTGGACTATAGGCGCCTGCCACAAAGCCTGGCTATTTTTGTTGTTGTTGGAGTCGTCATTGTTGTTTTAGCTGGCCTAGCCCGGGTTTGAACCTGCCATCCTAGTGTATGTGGCCGGTGCCCTTCCCACTGAGCTATGGGAGCTGCCAATAGACTTTACTTTTTTTTTTTTT